CACAACATTATCGTCAAGCAGAACGTGTTATTGATGCAATACCTGTTTATCAGCCAAAAATTTATAATTGGTATAATAATTCATACAGTAAAGCACGATGGATTGTAAGTTTTAGAAAAAAAAATCTTTTTCAATCCTTAAATATTTTTCTTTTTTAAATTAAAATTAGCTAAGCAATAATAAAAAGAAAGTTAATACTAAATTTGTCTCAAATTTTCTAAAATGTTTCAAAAGTTCTCATTAGACATAAATTTTTTTTTTTGTTTAATAACAATAATTATAATTCCACTTGTATTTATTAGTTTCTTTTTCTTGTTTTTTTATGCTATATTTATTATTTCTTACTCAATATATTTTTTTTATTATTTTTTATTGAAATTAATCTTCCAATTAAAATATCAATCTTTTTTTTTCGGGTATTAAAGTAATTACTTGATTAATTAATTACAGGATACTCATGAGACTGTAACAAAACCAATTCGTATGCCGTCCTTTGAACCAATGCCGTATAGTTCTTATGTTCCATACTATACATTTCAAACAAACAGGATATTTTTCAATGAAGTATGTTAAAACAAAAAAAAGAAAAAATTTTCTTTACATGTTAAATTTAATAATTTCTAAATAAATTTGATAGACTTTCAATTTTTCAATTATTATTTATTATTAGATTATTTAAATATTTCTTCGTCTTTTTTCCTAAAAGTAATAATTAAAATTAATTTTTTATAGCGAATGGAACCATTGAAATCATACGTTGCTGAATCACAAAATTATTTAAATAGATATGTATCAGCAAGACTTAAGGCAGATGATTTTGCTCAACAGTATGCATACACATCATATGATTGGAGATATCCTCAGGTAGAAAAAAAAATTTCTATTGTGTAAAAGACATATGTATTTGAAAAAATGTATTGCTTTTTCAACACCTAATTTAATTAAATACAAGTTAATGAGCTATTTGCATATTTTATAATTTATCAATGGTGTTATTTTTTTAATTTTTTCAAAAAAAATTTCTCTATTTTTCTTTTTTTTTTTTGTAATTTTAGGATCATGGATTTAATCGACATTTTATGTACGGTGAAGGTGTATATATTCCTCATGCTCCACGTATACCCTACTCCTATAACGATGCGCAAGCGCTACGAAAACTTTACATTACAACAGGACGGTTCCGCTTTGCATAAAAAAATAAATAATTAATTTTGTTAGATTAATTATATACATTGGATTTAATAAACAAAATTATTGTATTGCATTTTGATCGCATTTTTTTTTTTTCAATATTTGCTATTTATCGTATTGGTTTCATTAAAAGTTTTCAGCTATTATCAGTGATAATTTTAATGCGATTATGTCATGACAATTTAATGCTTTTCTTGCTTTTTAAATCTCAGTAAATTTTTATTAATTATTAACAACAACAACAACAAAAAAAAAAACAAGTGGAGATTTGGAATATTCTCAATAATAATACAAAATTGTTGCAGGCTGTCATATTTTATTCATTTGATGAGATTATTTGCTAACAAAAAGATAGTCAATGATCTGTTTGAAATTATATGCTTAAAAAATATAAAAAGAAAATATATTTTATTGTATCACTAAGAAAACATTTAATCTAATTTAATTGTTTAATTTATGCCATTAATTCATTGTCCAAATTATTTATTCATTTAATATCTGAAAAACATATCCTACTACTAGAAGTTATGTGAAACAATGATTTGTTATTATAAATCAGAATCTATCATTAATTATTGTAAAAATATAATTCATTCAAATTTACGTTTCTTTGATTAAATTTATACTTTATTGACTTAAATTCACGTGAATCCAGTCAGAGCACATACCAACGAAAACAAGAAAAGTACTTATAAAAATGAAAAATAAGTATCCATAATAGATTTTTACGTGTTGTGTGTTATTTTACCTTATAATATTACGTTTGTAATGTTATAACACAAGTAATTCCTGAGCCATAACAAATGTCATCAATTTAACGGCGGAAGGATAAGTTGATTAACTGATAAGCTTTGACAGCTATGTCATGTAGGATTCTATTTAGCTATTCAGTTATGAATTTTTTCAAGCTATATATAAATTTTAAATAATAATTGCGAGTTCCAAAATTAAATAAATTAAACCAGATTAAGTAATGCTTTGTATCATTAATTATCAATCATACAGTAATGAAGTAATTAACGTTCATGAATTATGGCTTTTGAAAAAAAATAAAAGTTGAAGCTAAGTTCAGGAAAAAAAATCATCGTGGATCAGTTTTAATCAATACACGATCAATTTCACTATTGCTAATGAAAATTTAGCAATAACATTGTTTGAAAAAAAAAAAAAAAATGAAATAAACGAGATATAAAATTCTAATATATTTTTTGTTAAACTTTTATACTTGTATATATTTCAATAAGTTAAATTAATATTTTTTGGTAATTACTGATGAAATGTTTCTCTTTTTTTATAATCATTTTCCTGATTGAGTTCTAGATAGAACTTTATTGTCAAAATGTTGCATAAATCAAAATAATTGATTAAGTATTCGATGGGAATATTTTACGAAAATTTAAAGGTCGACTGAAATTATTTTAGTGAAAAAAAAATAGCAGAAGCCGAGTTATCATTAGTAATGTTTAAAAATTGCAAAAGTAGCAACGGATCTGTTACGTTAAAGTGAATTGCTGTAACAATTTTCAAACAGTGTTTTTAAATTTTCAATTTAAAAATGAATTAGCTTTTCTTATCAACTGTTCAGTTTTCTCATCAATGTTAGTAGGAATGAATGTTCATGGTGAAGCATAAAAAAATTTAACATATATGTATGCATATTTTCTTTTGAAACCGAAAATTGATGTATCTCAGGATAAATATGCATTTTAGAGTGTCAGTAAGATTTAGTAACCTTAATTTAACAAATAAGTTTTTTAAAAGGCTTTTTCTTGAAAATTTCAGCAATAAGTGCAAATTTATAAATTTGAAGGTAAAAATCTTGCAGAATAATCACCGAATACTTTATCTCACTTCTTTATCATTTATCAATGTTAAATTAAATTGAATTAAGTTAAAACCTAAACTATTACATCAAAAAAAAAAAAAAAAAACGAAAAAATTTTATTAGAGCTGATAGAATTCGATCGATATCATTGTATACATGATTTAATTTATTATGTTGTATTGTAAATATTTTATTGAAAACCAATAATTTTTATTTATTTTTCAAATTATCTAAATCAGTCATTGATTATCCATTATGTTGTAATTGATAAGTTAAAAATCTTTTATTGTTAATAAATTAAATAAATAATAAATTTCATCCTTTTTTTTAACTACATAAAATATTTTAATCAGCTTTTGATATTTTAAATTATTAGTGCGAAATTTAATACATTTTTTTTTTTGTTTTTCTTTAAAAAACTAATTTTGTAAAATCAAGTATTTCTAGTATTTTGTTTTCTTTTCTTCTAGTTTTCTAGTTCTTGACTTTTGTCCTTGATACATTTTAAGACTTGAAAATTTAAAAAAATACCTTTATTTTAAAAAAAGTTTCTTTTTTGAAGATTAAACCTAACCAAAAGTTTTTAATTTGAATGACTGAATTTCATAATCCTTAATTCTTTCTTTATCCACTGAATTAAATTTGTTTTTTATATTATGATTTCATACATTACTGTCATATAAATCTAATGCAACTAATTTAATTGATTTTCTAATTATAGCCAAGTAGACTATAATATCTAGTAGCAAATAGACCCAGTAAATAACCACAGTTTCATTGATAGAATTAAAGAAATTTTGAAGGAATAATAGACAAAGCTAAATTTATTATTTGTTATCACTGAACTGTAATTAATAGCGAATGAAATATGAAAAGAAAGGATGGAGAACTACTATGAAATATTTTCATTCCTTTTAAATTTATTAATTTAATCCAAATTTTTCTTTCTAATCAAAAAAAAAACTTTCGTATGCAATTTTATTACAAAAAAGAGATGAAAATATGAATTTTTAATACACTAATTTAATACACTTATATTAGATATTATAATGTTACAAACGAATGATAAAATTTTGTCTAAAAAAAATTAATGTAATTTTTCAATATTTTTCAAAATTTTGTAAAATTTTACATGCACATGCTATTTGATACATTAAAATGCTTGGAATGCAAAAATGATATGACAATTTTTTAATTTAAAAAAATTCAATAAATACCAATTCATTTACATTCCAATTTTTATGGAAAATTTCAACGATTAAATTTTCTCGCCTTGGTAATTTGCACATTTCCTTGTTCTTTTTTTCCTTTCCTTCTCTTTTTTTTAAAGAGTATTTTAACCAACTAATGATAAATAATATTTCAACAACTTTTTCTTTTTTCTTCATCATTTACCGGATGGAAAAAAATTCCGAATAGAATGAAATGATGAATTTTCTTGAGAGTGGTAATCATTTCGAGTCTTTCGATATGATATAAATGATTAAAATGTGTTGGAGAGAAAAAGTTTAGCACAGGAAAAGAAAGAAAAAGATAATACACAGAACATACACATTTAAACTATTTTCATTCAATGAATTGAATTCGTCCTCTCTCTCTCTTCTTGTCTTTGCTTATTTCTAATCACCATCCCTTTTTTCATTTTTCTTATCAGTTTATCTCTCGCAAAAAAAAAAAAAAAAACAGTTCTTCTCCTCATACATTCTAATGGAATCCTTTAACTCTAGCATAACCAATATCATCAATTTCATCAAAATTAACAGCAACAACAACAATAATAACTTCTGATCATATCATTCGAATCTTCTTCATTCTAGTAGCATCCTTCCAGGCGCTTTTCACAATTTCAATTTCTTTCACAATTTTTTAAATTTATTCCTTATCGTTATTCAAAAGAGAGGGAAGAAGAAAAACGAAAGAGAAAGGAAAAACGAGAAAAAAAAAAGGACGAATTATGCCATCTAATATACAATATAACACGCCAATGCCACTTTATTCACGGTAAGCATTCTTATCAATCCTTATCATTCATTCATATTATTCTTAAATCGAATTTGTGAAAAAAAAATTTCAATTTTAATGTCATAATCCAATGAATTAAATCAATATAATAATAAAATAATAATAATAATAATATAGAATTTATCAATGATTCCATTAATAGTTAATTTTTAAAAAAATTAATAATCAGTCATATTTGTTATATATCTTACCAACTATTTTTTATTTAGTGTATAAATTAAACACTGTTTCATATTTTGATTAGAAATAAAAATGCTTCATTAGCTTTTTTTTCCTAGAATTTTTTCAAAAAAAAAGAAAAGAAAAAAAGAAAAATGCAAAGGAACTTTAGTATATGCCATTGGATAATTAAAAATTTTCTAAACTTAATTACAAAACCTTTTTTGTGCTATGATTATTAATATGAGAAAAAATTTTTATAAATTATATTATTAAAATAAGTGATGCAAATAAATTTACAACTTGAAATGATAATTCTTATTATATGATCATATGACATAGTTTAGAAGTTGTGATAATACAAAAAAATTGGGTAATAGTAGTATGGGAAAAGAAAGTAATTCAATATGGTAAAAATTTTTAACTAAATTTTTTTTGTTGAAAGCATTAGAATTGTTATATATGTGTTGTTTGTATTATCTATTCTACTCTACCATACGAATGAATCATTATTAGCATAGATTGATTTACTAAAATAAACTTAGACACAAAAAGTATTTTTATACAATATTTTCATCTATGTGTATCAGATAACAATGATTCAGGCAAAAAATTTGCACTTAAGAAAAAGAATGAAAATATGCGCTTTTTTTTTGAAAATTTGATTTTAAAAAATTTAAATTTATAGTTTTCATCTTTTTTTTGTAAAGTTATAGTAATACATAGAAATAAATGATTAGAAATGATATATAACAAGCATTTTTTCAATTTGTTGTACACTTTCGTTTTTTTTTCTTTTAATTGAATAAATTATTAAAAATAATTTGACAAATATAATTTGCATGTTATTTTAAAATACAATTTTGAACAACTATAATTTTAAGGTAGCTTTTATTCTTATTAATATCATTTATTTATTCATTTCCAAACTTTATTCCACTTTCTCATCTTTCAACGACTTCTTTATTTTTCTTTTTGGATGAATTTATTCTTTGATAATATAAATATTATTGCATTATTTATTGTTATCACTTTGAGCGATTATTAATTAGAAATATTTTAAATTATTAATATAATTGAAGGCTATTGAATAATGGTAAATATATATATTAAAATAGTTTCTTTTTTTGTTTCTTGTAGGTATCAATAATCGTTCTATTAAACAATATCTTTTTCTTACAATGATAATAATTACCAGTTAGTAATACTACTATCTTATAATAATAACACTGATATCATTTAACAACATTTATCATTTTACAATTGTAAATGTATTTTCAGATATCAAATGTTTATTTTAAACAAGCATACATAGTGTATTTCATTGCTTTCTGTTCTGAAACTTAATCAAGTTAACCGTTGAAAAACGAAAACTAGAAAAAAGTGCAATTTAGGAAGGAAAAAAAAATGATTTGCTATTTTTTAAAAGCAAATTTTGTTTTTTTGCTTTTAACTGCCCAATGTTTCACAAAATGTGAATGATGCAGGTGAGCTGTTCAAAAAGCATCCGGAAAACAGCTGTTGTAAATTTTTCATTTATTTTTTATTTTCACAATTTTTGAAAAGAAGAATGTTAGATGTTTCCTTTTGAATTAAAGCATTTATATGTAAAAGACAATCTAAAACATTTCATTTCAATGATTCTACTATTAATTTTATTTTAAATTTTTATAAAATAGATTGGAAAAAGATGTGTATTACTTTTTTAACATTTCAACAAAATATGATTAAGACTTTATTAGCATTATTAATGATGATTGTCAAAAATTTTTAAAAATTCAATTCAACAAGTATTTTGTTTTGTGCAGATTTTAAATTAAGTCGTGAATAAGGAAAAAATGAGAGGAAAAGTAATAATAAAAACAGAAAGAAATTTTGGCTAATCAGAAAGAATTCAATGATTTTTTTTTTGTTTCGTTTTTAGATAATAACTGTTAACAAGTCAATTTTTGACATTCAAAAATTTATTTTGCCATTAAAAGCATCATAAAACTTCATATCTGTTTTTAAGATTATGAATTTTATCAAGATTACTAACTGCTTCTTACGACCAAATAGGTAGCATTACGTAGTCAGAAATCATTAACCATTTCTAATCTTTAACATAAATTAATTAATAAATAATTAAATTGAGGCAGAATCATTGCTGCTTCACCTGTACATTTATTTGATACACGTATACACCATGTATATTTATCAGAAAATTTTCCAAAAAAATCAATGATTTAATTACTATAATGAATGGTAGATAATGACTTCATCACTATAATCGATGAATAATAATGAATGAATGGTTATAACCATAGATAATGATTGATCGCTGTAAATGAATGACAAATAGAAAAAATGGATAATAACTGAATAAAATTATTAAGGGAAAAAAAACATATAAATGGAATAAAATTTTTCCTAACAAAAATTATTACTAATATTTTTTTGTGAGTGAAACAAATGAACAAGAAAAAAAAGTTGAATATTTTAGTGAAGCTGCAGAAGAGCAATATAAACAGCAAGTTGGCGCAGGACCAGATCATGCACTTGGCGCAAATGACCGACATTTTAATCCTGAAGTTTCAGAAACATTAAAAGTAATAAGAGCTGGTGAAAATGATACATTTGGCCAACACTTCAATGAGTTAATAGCACAAGCGGAAATCCCACATATACCACCATCACAGGTTTATTAGATTAAATTCCCACAATTTATATTATTTTTGCTTTTTATTTGTAAAGAATAATTTTTAGAGTGTAAATGTTCTTTATTCTTCTTTTAATTTTAACTAAATTTTAAAACAGCAATATTATTGGTATTTTATAATTATTTTTAAAACATTTATTTTTTGGCTTTTTTCTTTGAGAAGTTATATAGGATATTCAAAATTTATCTTTTAAAATTTAAATCTTTTAAAATTATTTTAAATTTAAAAAAGAGAATAATAAAAAAATATCTTTCTTTTTTAAAGGAACCATATTGGGCTCATGCAGCACGCAGTCGAAGTGAACGAGCTCGTTCAATAACACCTTCTGCTACAAAACCATATTATGCACCTCAATATTCCACTTTACAACATCCAAAAAAACGAAATGAAGAAAGGTTGTACACTGTTGCTAACTTATTATTTTAATAAAATTTGATTAATGTTATAAATTAATCATATTACTACAAACTTGAAAAATTTCAAAGTTATTCGCAATTGATGAAGTAATAAAAATTAATTTGTAATAAAAGAGAAAAAAAAGTTGAATTAAATATAAAAAAAGGGTTCTTTTTTTTTTAAAAATTTATTTTATAATAATAAAATGTATTATTATAGATCAATAAGACGAGGATATGAATTTGGTGGATTAGATTATGTTGATCGATCACGATTATCATCATATAATTCATCACCTCACATTTATCATAATGATAATGATGATACAAGGCGATATCATAATGAGCATAAGACAATAATACCTGGATATGAAATGGGTGGTATGGATTTTCGAAAAGGTGAAATAAGCATAAATGGTTCATACCATGGACATGGACCAGAACAACGTCGCTTACATTCAAAATTTGATCATACTTTGTTGAAACGTGATGAGATGAATATTGAAATAGCACCAAATGTTGATCATGTATCAGCTGATGTCTTAATTGGTGATACACGATCTAATCAACATCTTACTAAAAATGAACAACCTGATCATCATTTTGGTACATCATTTGGACCAACAGCTGGTTTCATTCGTCAACATCGTACTGTTAATCGTCAAGAAGAAATCACTAAACCGACAACATTTAGTTTATCAGCTAAAGTAGATGATCATTTACCATATCGAAGAAATGATAACAACAAAATAAATGATAGCTATTCAATTTCACCAACATATCATCATCGAACATTTCAGCCATCAACAAATTTTACTGGTCATACATCACAAACAGTTACGAATTATTCAACAAATGATATTATTGGTGATAAAAATATTGATATTGATAGAGATAATATATCATTTCAAAAGATAGAACAACAACAACAACAGCAATCATGGATTCGATCACATAATACAGTACCAGCAGAAAGATACGAATGGGCAAATGAGAATGCTGAGAAAGAGGTGACAATTGAGACATTATTGAACGATAAAGCGCTGATTGCACAAAAAAAATTGATGACCCCAGAATGGCAATCAAGATCTTTCGAAAAGCATAAACATTGGAAGAACAGGTCGGACCCTCGCTTTACCCGCTCCCAGGTCCTGTATTTGTTCCATTCTTCCTACTTCCATTTCTGCTTTTATCATCTCTTGTTATTTCAATTCTATTTCTTCTTTTTTTTGTCAGTATCTAAATTTTAATTGTACATATCTTAACTTTATCCTATCGTTTAATCGAATTCTGCTTTGATCATTATTTATCAGATGACAAAAAATATTAAACTTTAAAGCTTTTAATTTACTTTTTTTTTACTTTTTATTACTATTACTGTACAAATTGATATTTAACTTTAGCAAAAATTGCTGATAATGGTATAGTTATGTTATTTTCTTTTATTTAGAATTTCCTTTCCTTTTCGTTTCTTTTTGTTTTTTTCTCCTCAATTTTTATTTATTTATTTTTTTTTTTAAAAATTGAAATTCCTCGAATAAATGATTGAATAATGAAAAATTTAATATTAATTTTGAATATCCCATAACTTTTTTTCCTTTTTTTTTCTTTTAAAAATGCTCTAATTATTTGCGTTTGTTTGTTTAGAAACAGAAACAAAATTAAAAGGCAGTTTGCTTAATTAGAATGAAATTAATATGATGTGGACAAAAACATAACAGGTGTTGTAGTTGTGTAACTAATTAATTTCATTGAAAAAAATTTCAATTAATCAGCGAATTTTTTTAGATGTATGATTATGAACCTATGTGGACACGTATTGTGAATGATCGACGTAATATTTGGGAAAAAAAAGCAAGAAATACTGATGCTCGTCTGCAAATACCACCTTCTTCGAAAGTTTGTTTGTGTTGAATATGTGGATACCTCCGCTAAATCTTTTTTTTTTTTTTTTTAATATTTCATACAGAAAAAAGCAAAAAATTTTTTTCTTTTCCATTTTAATTACTTTCCTTTTAATAAATTTTAAGCCAGATATAAGCGATAATAGTTTTAATTTGTGAAAATCCGAAAAAAAGAAGAATATGATATGATTTCAAATATGATTAGAGAAATATGTTTATTTTCTTTAAAAATTTTATCTTCATTTTCTTTTCTAACGATTTTTTAATTTTGTACAATAACTGAAATTTGTCAAATTTTTAGAGTAAAAAAGTTTTTTTTCTCTTTTTATAGATTCCACCAGAACAACCACCACACTGGTATAACAGAGCTAACCAGACTCATGCACTGTGGCAAAATGAAGCTGATCGACAGAATCGTGAAGATGGTAAATATGATGGCGGTAATTATAATTATACGAATTATCATCGAGAACAACACAAGTATGATAAATCAACAATTAATGATTATGATAGTTTCATATCACAAACACATTATACAACACATGCGGATAACGGTGATAACGGTACCAAAAGTGTACAACAGAATCATGCACAATATCATACTTCCTATTTAAACAATCAACAACAACAACAATATATAGAGCATGGAATACCAGTTAAACAGAGTACACATTTAACTTATTCCCCTGTATCTATTGGATCACCACATCCGATATCCTCCAGTACTCAGCAACAATCATCCACATGGCAATCACACAGGTATAAAATTGAATTAACTAAAAGAACTACTTATTCAAACCAAACTAAAAGTCCCAAACAACTTATTCAAAGGTTGTAAACGAAGTATATATAATAATTTTATTATTCATAATAAATGTCTTATTCAAATAAATCTCACTTTATTAAATTTTTATATAAAAGTAAATATTTAATCTTTTTTTTTTTTTTTTAAGTAGCAGTTCACGTTATGAAGAAAAATTGCATGAGTATTCAACGGAAAGAATGATAAATAATCAACCAATCACATTACCGGTAACAAATGCAGTCAACAGGTATGCTATTGAGAAACCGAATTATCAACGAAAAACACAGCATGAAACTGCTGCACCATATAATTCAGTTGTATCTGTTATGCAAGGTAGTGGTGATTTCAATCGACGTGTTGAAATGTCTGAGGTATTATATTATTTTAGTACTGATAATTTTATTTTTCATATCATTTATTTCAATTCCCTTTTTTTTTTTTTTTTTTTTCTTAAAAAAAGATTATTACACTATAATTTTGTTGAGATTATCAAAATATCTCAGAATTTTCCGAAACTATCTATATTTTTTTATTTTATTTTTTTATTTTTTTTTTATTTTAGTTGATATAATCATATTTTTTTATTTTAGTTGATATAATCGTTAAAAAAAAGTATGAATATACTTTAAATACATAAAAGGCATTTTCTTTTTACGGAACAATATTCGAAAAGAAAGCAAAAAATCTGTCGGTAATAAAAGTATCATAAAATGAGAAAATTTTACCTACTAATGTAATTAATTAGCATACACATAAGTGCTACTACATTATATGGTCAATTTTTTAATTGTTGATGAATAAATATTCTTGAACTATCGTAAAAAAATTTTAATTCAGTTTCTGTGATTGTGAAAGAATAATGAAAAATTCAAATGGTTTACTTTTGAAATAAAACAAATATATCTGCATATTATAGCTCTGATCTTTTCTTATTTTTTGAAGTCATCTTGATTAATTAAGTCATATTGATCTTTACAAAAAGAAGAAAAGAAATACAAATCATACTCAAATATTGGTAATCATTTTGAACAAACATTTTTTAAAAAAAATGTGAAATTCCTTATCTTACATTTTTCTGTAATATATAATTGCTGTAATTAGCGATAAATTTCGTTAAATTTTTTGAATAAATTTAATAGTATAGACTAAATGAAAAAGTAAACAAATTTTTGAAATAATGCAAGTGTTTGTATTTTTTTTTATTTAAAATTTAAAATCGATGTATTATTGTATACAATACATAATTCATTAATATCTCAGAAAGCTACATTTTTTTAAAATGTGTTATTTATTACAGGTATTACCTCGAGGTACAGTAGCAAATACGGAAGCAAGTTTAGAAGGTAATTACGTGGATAAGGATGGTCAACCTGTAACGTATAAGCGTGAAATTGTGACAAGCGTTAATCCGAATAGTGAAAGTACGCTGCTTAAAGAAGAAGAAAGGCGTGTTGTTGAGACACCACTTGAACCTGGTGTCATTTCCAGGTAAATCAAGCATTCATATTTTTATTAATTTGTTTAGAATAAGCTAAAATTTGATTGGGGAGATTTAAATGTTTTGAAAATGTCCAAAAATTTTATTATTGTAAAAAATTAAATTCCAACAATATTTACTAAAAGCACAAATTAAGTATTAGAAAAATCTAAAATAATTGCTAATTGAATCAATACACTCCGAATGATTAAAGACTATTTCTGTCTAGCTTATGTCAAACTTTTAATAATTAATAAAGAAAAAACTTTATTAATGAATTCTAGACATGTAACCACAAAATATTATAAAAAGAAAACTGTGACCGATACGACAACGACAAATACCACCGTTCACTGAAATAAAGAAATCTACTGCTAATCTCCGAAAATTATAATTTCTCGACAAATCCTCGATGCAAAATTGTTTTGCTTAATCTATTAATCATGCTTGCTTTTAATATTATCACCATTGTTCAAATAAGCCACAGCTAGTTTCATCCTTCCTCATGTATTATTTACTTTTCATTTTAGCTCAATTTTGAACTGTATTTGCAAGGTAAAAATCTCTACGTCGTATATTCACAGATAAGCTTCCAAACATTTCATCATTGTTCGTCGCCTATCACACTTACAAATTCAGCTATAAATTGCTTCCAAATATTTCAAAGTTTATTACTTAAAATTTAGGTCTATATCAGCAATCAAATGATCTACTACATCAATTTAAGAGTTTTATAAAATCCAAGAATTACTTCCTCGGATCAGTAGCATTTAGTGCTAAGTAAGCAAATCTGAAGAGAATGAATCTAAGAATTTCACAAACAAAATCATTTAAGATTTTAAAAGTACAGTGACTTGCCTTTTTTTCTTTGGAAATAACGTACTTTTTCACTGGTTTCATTTTATTCCAGAAATGCAAAAGCAAAACAACAATATCATGAATAAAAAAACATTACACACATGCCTGTGATTATATAATAATACTTAGTTTAATAAAACAATTAGAAAATACAATTGGTAAAAAAATTTATTAAAATATTCGCTGATATTAGGCAAAGCATAAATGTTTCCTTTACATAGCGTTAGTGCATTGTCTATAGAAAAGATGGATTACTTTAATACCATCTATCATTTTTTGAATATGCCACGCGTAACTGACAAGAATCACAACTGGATCCACATTAGGTAGAATATATGTACCTAAGAAATATAGCCTAGGATATCTATGCTTTAGATGTATACATCTCACAATATCGAGATCACAGTGAAAGCTCAAGCAAGCATAACGACCACTTACTGCACATAATAACCTATGAGCTTACATTATTAAATTTTCAATGAAAATTACAACACGTGAAAAAAAAAAAAATTTAACACAGTACTGTAACGCAGCATTAAGATGATTTATTTAGCAGATAATCAAAAACAGATATTCTGACAGAAACTGGATATATTTGAAATAGTTTTATTCACTTATTTTATATAAAGGTGAAAATAAAGTTAAATTTCCGAGAATAAAAAAAAAAGTTTTGCGTTTTTTTTTTTTTTTTTTTTTTTTTTTGAACTAAATTACTGCTAACGCAAAAAATATGTTTTGGATACAAAAAGAACTGCATATATAGTGATAATGAAGAAATCATCAAAAAAGAACGATTGCAGAAAAAACTTTTTATAGCACAGAAATGAAAAGCATGGATAAGGTAAAAATATTAACCGACTGCCTTGGTAACACGTCGTGCTCCTCTTTGTGATGGCCCTGGTGGTTTTGCAAAACTTTTTTCTTTCATTTGTGGAGCTGGATGAGTATAATCAATGAGAATATCTAATGATAAGAATTCTTTACTATCAATTTCTATCTGAAATGAGAAATTACATATATAATAATTCTTCTTTCACCCGCAAAATACCTCGCCAAATAAAGCATTATAATTATCGACATTTACCACTCTGATTCCAATGTAACTGTTACAAAATAACATATTTATGTCCAGTTTTAACTGCAAACTTTTTATTTGAACATTACAAACCACTTGCCATTCTTTTCTAAGTTACATGATTTATCACTTCACCAACAATTTTAACGAGATTTTATTTTTATTTTTCAAAACTATTTCCATACTAAAACCTTTTTATCTGGAGAAAGATTTGCGGCCGATAAAGCAGATTGTAGAAATGGCTGCTTACAGCTTGAGTAAAGCATTCGTTCTTTGATTGTACATCCCGATGAAGGCATTGAATAGATGAAAACTGCAAAAGAAAAAAAAAATATATTAAATTATAAGCAAAGCATCTACAAATATCGAAAAGAACTACATTAATCATCAGAAAATGTTGTGAAAAGTTTTAAAACGAATTCCAAGTGTAAAACTAATTAAAAATAAATTTAGAGCTTTATAAAAATGCAAACTAACATAAACTATCATAATTCTGACTGTTATATTCATGAGAGAAACGATAGAAATGATATCGTGGCTTATCTCGAGGTATGACCTGAAAAAGCAAACTTTGCTACGAAAATATAAAATATGAAAACTGCTCTATCATTTAATATAATCTATCTTCAAACTTCGTATAAACATGATCTGCTATAAATCCAAATACGGCATCATTTAAGACACTCTTCCATTTCCTAATTTATCGGTGATTGCGAAAGGAAAAAATTATATTTCATCTACCTTAATTTACACTATGGAAATTTAGGCTTTCAGTACACTTATACGATTGAACTACTGGTTAAAGTTTGGAATACGAAAATTATTGTCATTTAAACGGATAATTTAAATGGAGAATAAAAGTGATAGAAAATAATCCAAGGTTACACAGTCACAGAAAAAATAAATTACCTCATTTAACTCTTCGGGAGAGATAGATGTTTTTGAACATTCCAATTTGATTGCTTCATTCAATGTATCAACAGCTAGCTGAACATAATTCACTGTATGATTAGCTAACTTTCGTAGTTCTTCTTCAGCATCCTGATCCACTGGGAAGAAAACACCTAGAAGAGTACGTTTAATATTCCATAAATAACTTTTTAAATTTCAAGCAAATATAACTTTTTCACATAGTGATAGTTGAATAACCATAACAGTTCTTCACTTTCTTAAAGATATTTTTGTACAAGAATGTATTTAAAAGTAAAGATTAAAAACATCGCAACTTACCTCTGACAGTTTGTGCAGCAACAACTGACGGTGCAGTAACTTTAAGTTCTTGATGTGCATTATAAAATTCTTTCTCAAGTTCCGACATAGGTCCAGGATCTTCCTTACTCGAAAGCCATTTTTCAAATGCTTCCAATGTCATTTCTTTCTTATCTGTCACATGATATTCGTATCTGCAATCTCCAGCAAAAAAGTGGAAAAAGAAAAGTATTGTTGACAGCCTTGTAAACTAAAGTAATTAACTGAATGGTCACTAACAAGATCCGCTTCATGCAGACAATATTTAACCATTTAACTACTGCAGATTTACACGAATTCATGAAAACGCACAAAGTCCAAAACTCGATTTTTTTTTAAAAAAAGTAACTACTAGAACAATTCGAACATCAACAACGCTAGTGAATACCGAGTAGGAAAAAAGTTAAATTTAATGCCTGATATTGGACTGTCCAAATTCTGATTTAAACGTTGTCCAAGTCGCAGCAAAAACCATTTTCTCACGAACAGGAGCACGATCATCGGCAAAGCTGTAATAAATTTACAATTTTTATAACTGCAATCATAATATTTCTAAACAGCATGTCAAAATACACGTTTTTTAAGTCATGACTTATGATCCTTATTCAATCAAAATCTGAGGATATTCAAGAAAAAACTGGCAGGCTGTTTGGAAATAAAAATTTTCTAAAACACTATAATTCCATAACAGGTAACATTTTTATCAAACTGCATAGAGGTTAAATATGACAGCGTATTCTCCAGTCATATACTAGATTACTTTCAACTGAAACAACAAACCTCATTAAAATCCAACCACATGGTTCATCGATACGAAACAAAATGTAGCATGGTTCAAATGCGTCAATGCAATCCGGTAAATGACGTTTGAAGTCAGCACGCCAATCAGTCGTACCTTTACCTTGGAAATTAACACATAGTTCTTCTGAAATAAATTATTGTTATAAAAAATTACTGTTCAATATTTCTGACAAAGCAAAAAGAGAACAAAATGAAATAAAAAATAAACTGCTATGAAAAATTCGTTCCATTAATAAATTGCAGTAGTAATATAAAATTTCGAGAAATTCCTAATTGAGAACGCCTGTGCTTTTACTCAAATTGATGCTGCTGATCCAAGCGCAGATCACATACAGCTGTCGGATACATGTGTCGTGTTTACCTATGACAGATGCACATCATTTTTCACGACTAGCCAAGTAGCCAAAATTATTCAAGATTCCTTACAAAAAAAGAGAAAAATCCATCAAAAGTTCATACCATTCTTTACAACAATTTTTGCAAGTCTTATCTTCCCTGATTTACATTCATTGAAAAACCTCAGCAGTTTGTCGCTTGCTGAAAAATAACAATAAATAATAACACTAACCAGAAAAGCATTTCGTTAAGTTGGGAACTTGATTACTGAAACTCAAAGTTCTTTCACAATCAATATAAATCTATCAATCTCAGTTATAATTCGTTTCAAGAATTCTACCAAATTTCAATTATTACCTGGAATAAGAACGAAAGTAGAGATTTCACGCATTAGCATACTCAAGTTAAATATAACTTTTATGATACACTTAAATGTAATGAAAAAACGACAAACCTCGAATGCCAGATTGACAAGCCATAATGTTAAGATAATAGCGAGTGAGTTGACTAGGAATACAACAAATGATACGATATGAAATGATTGTATAACTGCAAAATATAACAAAACTGGAGCAATATGCAAAAAAATGAACCATTATGACAAGCGATCGTTTTTGCTTTTTTCTTTAAAGTAAAACAAAAAGTAGTCTATCCATTAAAATAATATACCCATTTTGCGAATACCTGCCAATTTTTTTAATTAAATTAAATTTAGCAACAAGGAAATTATTTTTTCTACTCGTTCAATTTGAAAATGTGCGTCCCCATACTTAAACAATGAAAGAAACCGGCACACTATCATCAAGCACATCAATTCGTGAAAACAAAATTCTTAACAGTTTACATCACTAATCCCACCGAGATCCAACCGCAACAATCATTCCAAATCGAAATCCATTTCGCTATTGTAGCGCAAAGTGATAAGTTATAATTTTTATATTTAATGGAAAATAAATTAATTTCTGAGGAAAAATTAACAACATTTGATTGAAAAATTTTATATGCATTGGAAAATGTAATTGAAATTTGCTTCATCTTA